TACGTCACCAACTCTCCAAGCCTAAAGGTCTATGCCGACCAACGGGGCGGCTGCCGGGAGCGCTGGGTGAGGGAGGTTATCCCGCGAAAGGTGGGGGGGTTACTGCTCTGGGGGAAGCGGGCTAGAGAGGATGCGCGAGCGCGTAGCTGGACCGGGCCTCAGGGTGGGGGTGGGGTGCGGGTGAAGTGGCTGGCAGCGATACGATTCCAAATTTGTCACTACCGAGCTCGCAGGTCCCCTAAGGGGGAGAGGGGGCTGGGGCACGGCAGGCAGGAGACTGAGGAAAGGCCTCAGCGGAGGACGAGGCCCGACCTGCTCCGCGTTGTCTCCCGCCCTCCCTCCAGGCCGGCCCTCCCCGCCCGGCTGCCCGCCGCGCCCCGGGGCCTCACCTGCTCCCACGGGGGCCGGAGTCGGGGCCGCAGCCAGCGCACTCCCGCCTGGGTTGTCAAGGAGCGAAACAAGAGTGTCTTAGCAACCAGCAAGGAAGTCCTGCCCCCTTACCGGACATTGAGGGAAAATTCACTTGTTACTGGTGAATTCAAGTGTCAATCAGCGTTAAGGGCCCTCCAAAGCAGAGGTTTGCAAAGACGGGGGCATGGCTTATATGCTAAGGAGGCGGGACTTCACTTATAGTCGTCTTAACTATGCCTGAGGAGCTAGAGACATACTGAAGTTCTCATTTTTAGAGAAGCAAACTTCGGAAAACACTATTGCTTTGGGAGTTTCTTCTAGTCATTTGAAATCAAACAGGCAAGTTTTTGGTGTCGTGGCGCTGAGCTAATACTTTATTAATGCCTCAAAACTTTGATAGTAACTAACATTAACTTAAAGTTTTACAATTAGCATCTCACCACAACGCTTCTAGGTAATGGTATTCATAGGTGGCGTAGTGCCGAAGGCATTTGACTGCTAACCAGAAGGTTGGCGGTTCACACCCACTAGCCACTCCTCGGAAGGAATCTACTTCCCTAGAGATAGTGCCTCAGAAACCCAAGGAGGAGTCACTGTGAGTCGGGATCGGACTGGATGGCAGTGGATTGTGTTTGTTGCGTCCCCCCATCTGAAGTAAGGTTCAGAAAGGGTTAGTAACTTGTTAAAGTCCCCGGAGAAGGAATCCAGGTGCTCTTCCCACTACATCACACCCTCATCTAGTTCCCTAGCCTTAATCTATAGGAATATATGTCAAGGAATTCAAGTTGCTTGGTTCTACAATCGATGCCAACGGAAGCAGCAGTCAGGACATTAGACGACGTGTAGCATTGGGGAAGTCAACTGCGAAGGAACTGTTTCAAGTGCTGAGGAGCAAGGATATCTCCTTGAGGACTAAGGTGCGCCTGACACAAGCCATGATATTTCCAATCGCCTGGTATGCATGTGAGAGCTGGACAATGAATAAGGAAGACCGAAGAAGAGTTGATGCTTTTGAGTTGTGGTGCTGGCGAAGAATGCTGAAAGTACCGTGGACTGCTAAAAGAACTAACAGATCTGTCCTAGAGGAAGTGCAGCCAGAATGCTCCTTGGAAGCAAGAATGGCCAGACTTTGTCTCACCTATTTTGGTCATGTTGTAAGAAGGGACCATTCCCTGGAGAAGGATGTCATGCTTGGTAGGGTGGAGGGTCGACGAAAGAGGGGGAGGCCTTCAGGGAGATGAATTGATACAGTGGCTGCGATGATGGGCTCGAGTATAGCATGGATTGTGGGGCTGGCGCGGGATCGGGCAGTGTTTCGTTCTGCTGTGCATGGGGTCACTATGAGTTGGAAACGACTCGACGGCACTTAACAACAACAACAACAACAATCTATAGGAGACATTCTTAACATCGAACTCACAGACACTGTCGTCCAGAGCCTGCCTTTTCTTCCCCTTGGGAGGGGAATTGAATCTGAAAGTATTAGCACAACTGGAGAGAAGAAAAAAAAAAATGGGTGAGGGGAAAGAACCACAGATTCCATTATTTGACTGGTGGATCAAAGGGGCAAGGGGGCACTCTATTACTTAAAAACTTAACTTGATTGTCATGAGAACTTTGGGTAAGTCCCCACTGCCACATTCTACTTCTGTAGTGATAACACCCGGGAAACCCAAGGAGGGGTTGCTATGAGTTGAATCTGACTCCATGGCAGTGGTTGTGTTGTTGCATTTTTGGGAGCTCAGCCCTGGCCAAGTGCTGGTGATCCAGAGAGGAAGAAGACCTTGACCCCAGAACATGACAGTCCAGTGAGGGGCCAGTGTATGAACAAATAGACACAGATGAATCCATTCTACCACTGTTGTGGTGGAGGTGTGGGAAAGGGGCTAGTTTTTTCCCAGGAGGTGGTGCTTGAGTTGACTAAGTCTAAAATGGCCAGCAGACTAATGAGGAGTGGGTCACCATAGTTCACTGGGAAACTGCCAGTGATTTCATGAGGCCTGGGTGGAGGATGAATGTGGGGCAGGCAGGAGGTGATGGGATAAAGATACAAAGGGAAATAGGGACCACAAGAGTCAACAGACTGTTAAATGCCAGGTTCTGAGGCATGGGTTCTCTTGGGGTAGGGTAAGGGTGAGAGAAGGTAGCTGTTGGAGCATTTCAAGTTGGGCAGTAACATGATCAGATTTGGGTTGTAGAAAGACTACTGTGGTGATGATGAGGGTAGATTGGACCCTGCCCCCCCCAACAAAGAAAGCAGGCAGGGTGTGTTTGGTTTTGCAGTTTTGCAGCTTGAGGTGTGCTTGGCAATTTCCAACTTGGCTTCCTGAAGCGTCCACGGAATGTCTGACTCAACCTTAAGCTTTCTTTAATTCTCTTTGCCAAACTTCTCTAGGCGATGAAAGGTGGACTTTGAGGGGGATGAAGCTCTCACCTCCGCCTCTCATCCAAACTTCTCCTAAAAGGGGTCCACATTGGCTGTCTTCTTTCTCACTTTCCATTCACTCCTCAGCCCACTACAATCTGGCTTTCACTCCCACGACACTACCAAAATTCCCTTTTTCCTGGTTACTGGTGACCTCTGAGGAGCAGTATAGGATAGATCCTTTCAATCTTTATCTCACTGAGCCCAGCCCTTCTGCTGGGCTTGAGCCAGTTGACCATGCCCATTTTCATAAAATTCTCTAGCCAAGAGGTAGTGCCTACAGAACTGTTTAAGATACAGATTCCAGGGACTCACTGCATCAGCATGGCGAGGGGCAGGAATCTGTATTTTTCACAAGCTCCCCTGTTGTACATTAACAGTTGACACTCTATTCTAGTATCTGTGACACCTTGTTTTCATCCAACTCCTCAAACTTCTCTTTGTCTTTGGCCCCTTTGGCTCTTCTTCCTTGCTCTCTGTGCCTACCTCGACCCTCTTTTCTTCTTGCCAGTGGTCTCAAACCTCTGTATACCCTAGGTCACCTCCTCATCGGTAACAGTGTTTCCCTCAGTCACAATCCCTAGAGGATTTACTGAAATTCAGGGTATGAGGGCAGTGTGCTTTGGAGACATCCCCCTTGCCAACACTTCCTGAGGAAACTTTGCCACCTCCTGGCATGTTTTGTTGACAATTTCTGCCTTAAGTAATTCCTTGGGATCTTAGCCACTCCCATGGTTTCCATTGTCAATGTCATTCCAAATTTTGATGGCTTCTGTATTCCTCTCTCCAGATTAGGCCTCTGTTTGGAGCTCTAGACCCAAATATCCAACCCCCTCCTGGCCATCTGCACCGAGATGTCCCATAAACCTTTCAAACTCAATGTGAATTTATTATTCTCCCCAATCTGCTCTCCCTGCATTCTCTCTCTCAGTCAATGGCACTACCATCCACCCAGTTGCTTCTGCCAGAAACCAGGGAGTCATTCTTCACACTTCCTCCTACCATCATCCATTTCCAGTCAGTCATAGGTCTGCCAATTCTGACTCCTAATTGCCTTCTGACGACAGCCCCTTCTGGCCACCTTCATGGTGCTACCTACGTTCAGTACACCATGATCTCATCTGTACTATTGCAACAACTCCCTAATAGGACTTCCTGCCTATAGTCTTGCCCTTCTGAAGTCTGTCTTCTATATCACAGTCAGCATGATTCATCTAATACCCAAATCTCACTACCACATTCCTCTGCTTTAGAATTCCCCCATGACCAGGTTTGCTGGTCTGATAGACCCTGGTGCAACCGCTGAGACTCTGGGCCCTAATTGCCCTTCAGGTCTGGAATTGAACCCATACCTGTGGCTTCCAGCCAAACAAAAGACAGGCCTATGAGGTGAACATTTATACTAGGTAGATACACTCCTTGGAGAAAACAATCATAGGAGAAAGAAGGGCTGTTTATGCACAGGGAGACAGCTCAGGGGGCAGGAGTGCATGGAGGGAGGGACACAGGGAAGAGGTAACTATGGGGAGGAAGTGGGAGGGGAGCTGTTGCATTGTGGTAAATTATAGTCAATGTCATGAGACAAAGTATATGTGAACTACTGTATGGAAAGTGAATTTGCTCTATAAACTTTCACCCAAATCACAATTAAAAAAAAAAAAAAGAATTCCCCTGCCACGGTACCCATCACCTGCTGCGTAACATCCAAGGCCTTCCATAGTGTGGCCCTGCATAGTGTGGCCATGGCATGGCCCTCCATGGCGTGGTCCTCCAAAGTGTGGCCCTTCGTAGCATGGCCCTCTACGGTGTGGCCCTAGGGCTCTGCCTCCTCCATCCCCTATACTTTATGCCCCAGCCACACCAACTCTTATGCTTCTTGATGTCTCCCACGCTGTTGCCTACCTCCCTGCCTTTGCTCTAGTGTCCATTGTGTCCATATTCTCCCTCTGCCAACCCATCCTTTTGGTTCTGTGAGCCCATAAGCTTTTGGCCTAAGCTTGTACTTGTTGGGGTTCTGTCACTAGCAACCACAGAGTCCTTCCCCCTCACCTGGTGCATGTGCCTGTCACTGCCCTTCTCCACTGTTTAATACTTGAGCTTAATTCTCTGTCTCCCCCTGTGAGCTCTTTGAGAGCAAGGACCTTGTCTTATTCATCTACACATTCCCAGGCTCCACACAGGACCTAATAGAGAGTAGGTGCTCAGCAAATGTTTTAGGAATGAATGCATGAGTGAACAAATGAGGTGGGTAGAGGCCATACCTACTTCATTAGAGTCAGCTCTTATCAAACCTCCATTCCAGGTATACCCTTTCATGTGATGTTTGTGCTGTTTAAAATGACTAATGGTAGATTGTCTCCTAGAATCAGTTAGCAATTGAATCAGCTGCAAGTAACAGAGACTGGAAAAATCCCAAGGCTTTATTTTCCTCATGAAACAAGAATAGTCCACGTCTGGCTGGCGTGGGTCTCAATAACCCTGCTGAGCCGTTAAAGATGGTTGATACATCTCCAGAATCTCATTTGTGTTCAGGTAGGAAAAGGGGAGGACAAAGGGCAAATCAGTGATTTCCAGTTGTGTCAGTGTCCTTAAAAGAGACCTCCTCTCACATCTCTTTGGCCAAAATGGT